AATATTGTAACAAGATTATTTTTCTTCCAAATGTTTCTGCTTTTTATTGGATAATAATACACTTTCATTTTGCTTTCATTTATTATTTTTCTTTCTTCTTGATAAATTTCATAAGTAATCTTTTCTTTTCTTAGATAAGCTTCAAGCGTTAGAGTATCATTTATTTTGAAAATATAAGGAGCAATTTTTTCACCTTGTTCTTTCTTCAAAATACTTCTGATAGTACTATAATTCTTGGGTTCCATATTAGATCTGATGTAAATTAATTTCATATTATTATTTTTACATAAAGAGGAATAGTTCTATATATCATTTAAGATAACAAATGAGACATTATAAAACTAATTGTGATGATAAAACTAAATTTTGATCCCTGAAATTTTTGGCAATACCAATGTTCACTTTGTCTGGTTTAGTTACAGTAAGCTTCAAGTGTCTGAGTATCATTTATTTTGAAAATATAAGAGGCAATTTTTTTACTTTGTTCCTTTTTTAAAATACTTCTGATAATACTATAATTTTTGGGTTACATAGTAGATGAGTTTCATATTAATTATTTTATCACTTAACAAAATGGGACATTATAAAACTCTTAATTATGATCACGTTACAAATGACTAAATTTTGATCCCTGAAATTCTTGGTAATACAAATGTTCACTTTGTTGCAATATGCCCCATATAATGATTATCTTTTACTTTATTATCATCTCAATCTATTTATTATTGGAAATTCTTTCTTTCAATATAAATATTTTTTTATTCCTATTTGTTTTTTTATATTTTTATCGTATATATATCGAAAATACTTGAAGATGGTGCCAACCACAATCAATCCTATAGCAGTTTCTCAAAACACCACAGTGATAGTTCACCCTTTAGTCTTGTTGTCAGTTGTTGATCACTATAATCGAGTTGCAAAGAATACAAAAAAACGAGTGGTTGGAGTTTTGTTGGGCCAAAATAATGGTAAAACCGTTAATGTTGCTAATAGTTTTGCTGGTAAGAATAATTGATTTGGATTTCGTTGTTGATATTATTATTATTATTATTATTATTATTATTATCATTATTATTAAATTGTTTGAATTTATTGATCGAGTCTGATTGATTGATTCGTTGGTTGATTCATTCATTTTGTAGTTCCGTTTGAAGAAGACGAAAGAGATCTGTCAGTTTGGTTTTTGGACCATAATTATGTAGAAGCTATGAATGATATGTTTAAAAAAGTTAATGGTATGAAGATGATAATAATTAATAATAATAAATTTAATCTACTATTGACCATTACCATCATTCATTTATCATTATTTATTCGTTAATTTATTAGCCAGAGAAAAGATGATTGGATGGTACCATAGTGGACCTAAACTTCGTGCATCAGATTTGGAAATTAATGAATTGTTTAAAAGGTATACACCAAATCCTGTTTTGGTTATTGTGGACGTTAAACCTAAAGATATTGGTATACCAACTGATGCTTACTTTGCCATTGAAGAGATTAAAGATGTAGGGGGTTTTTTTTTAATTAGCATGATCATTATCATAATAATAAAATCAATGATTATTATTTATTTATTTATTTTACTATTAATTATTATTTATTTATTTATTTATTTATTTATCGATCGATTAATCAATCAATCGATATAATAATTGTAGGATGGCACAGCGACCACAAAAACTTTTATGCACGTTCCTTCACAAATCGAAGCTGAAGAAGCCGAGGAAATAGGAGTAGAACATCTTTTACGTGATATAAAAGATAATGCAGTTGGAACTCTTTCCACACGCGTGACAGATCAACTAAACTCATTGAAGGGTCTACAATCAAGATTGGAGGAGATCCGTGATTATTTACAAAAGGTAGTTAACGGTACTTTG